ACACACACACACACACACACACACACACACACACACACACACACACACACACACACAAGCTTCTTATCTATCACACCGTATTCCTCGCCCACAAACAAGAAACACAGCCCGCATTTTCTCAACTTCAAAGCGCAGCAGCAGCACATCAAAGCGGCCGAGAGAGAGGGGGTCTGTGGAACAGCTTCCCGACAACTTACCGTCCATGTTAGCCGCTCTGATTAGAAAACGTGAAGGAGTCCAACTATGATACACCACCGGCAGCCCTGGCTCTGCTCCCCGTCCTGACCCTCCGCGTTACGCTTCATTTATTTGATCCAGTCGCGAATAAAAGAAAAAGAAAGCAGCCTCCTTGTCTGGACTTTTCTCGGCAGGTAGTGTTTCAAGAAGTCACGGCAGGCGGCTGAAACGCTCCCGGCTGTTGCTCCACCGACTGGGCTAAAGGTTTAACTGTGGACTTCAAAGTGAGGAGCCGCTGGCCTGGTCCCGGAAGATACATAAAAACCACGCGGCGCCTCCTCTTTGAAATAAAACAAAAATAAAACAAGGAGAGTCAGAAGCACAGCTAAAACGGCTCTGAACTGTTTGTCCTACGAGTCTTTATTTGCAAAGCTTACGCTCTTTATGGAGYGTTTCTTAACTTTTAAAATTTTAGACCGGGCAGGATCTGGTAGTTTGTCAGGACCTTATCAAACACAAGCCATCTCGAGCCAACTCCCCGAGGCTTTGAAGCGTCAGAAGTAAGTGATCTGCCGCCGCCGACACCATTCTTCTCACTGTCCGTCTGTTCCAACACAAACACAAAGCAAACAAAAGCAACACTTCTGCTGCCTCTGACCTCCTCCAATACACTGTAACCGAGGAGAGGCACATTTATCCTAAAGAAAACTTTTAAAAACGTTCTCTTATCTTGCTTTTTTTAATTAAATTCATAGTCCAGACCTTTTGAAGTAGAAAAGTTATGTAAAATCAATGATATTCATTGCAAAAATGAAATCCAAAAGAACATGCAAGATGAAACCAGAAAGGTCCTTGATTCCAACATGTGCAGCCACATGTCATTGAAAGCAATTCTGAAATGCAGGTCTGCACTGAATGTAAACAAAGCACTTGGCTAAATCTGTCAAAGTCACGTGACTCATCCTGTTGGGCTGCAATCTGTAGGTAAACAAATATGGTGGAACTGGACAACTTAAAAATATCAAAGAATTTTAGGTGGAAAAAATAAAAGTGAATCAGCAGCTAAACATGAAAGAAAAGAGAAAGATCAAATAAAAAAATTCAAACACGCTTTTGTCAAACTTCTAAATCTGTAACTTTATCATCCCAACCTTCATCTGCTTTACTGAACAAAGCTGAGCACAATGTGAAACCTGTCCAACTTCTCCGTCCCAAACAGCGTCTCCATGTCTGTCGTCACTGTTGACATATTTTCAGTCACTTCAACCTTCATCAGCCGTTCACAAAGTTTATTTACAAAATTTGAATTTTAGGACACGATAACCATTGATTTGAGAGAACATTGTTCAGATTTTGTTTCTCAAATTTTCAATAATCATTGTTGGCATTATGCATTAGCACAAACTTTTTTTGTTTCTCTCACTCACAAAATGAACTATTAACATAAACATAAACATAAACATAATACACAAAGCTTGACCAATTAGCAGCAAGCTGTGTAATAATACTCAGCAGCATTTTGTTTCATAAAAATACAAAACATCACAATCYGTATCTTTAAACTTCCTCTGGTGTTTTGTTTATTATTCTTATTTTTAATTTCTTTAAATATTTCAGTCATTTTTTGAGGATTCTGTGGAAAAATTCTGAATAAATAATGTCATATTTTTAGAATCACTTAAATTATGTTAGACAACATGTAGCTGCAGAACTTTGAGTGGAACCTGGAAACAAATCAAACTTTGAGCCTTAAAACAAATCTAATCCTCAAAGTTTTACCGTGGTTGTTTCTWTCATTTGAATCATATTATGTGATTATTTTGGAAATAATCATAACGTTCCATATAAACACACATGTATCGTAAACATGATGATTGTGTTAAAGTTATGACTCGGCACAAACAGCTCAAAAAGCAACCAAACCGATCTTTTGCAACGTTTCTGCAGAAGCCCGTTTCAAAATGTCCAGAATATCCCTTTAACAAGTTCATTTAAGTCTCGGATTCAGCATAAACAGAGTTTTCTTTTGACATTTCCCTCAAACTGCAGATTGACGAGAGAGAAATGGAGCGACAGTGTTCAACTTCAAACAAATTTCACAAAGATTTAAAAAACATATTCTTTAAATTATAGGCCCAGTTTGATAATCCCGTGGAGTGTAACTGTCAAATAATTTAAATATTAGTCACAGGATTTTAGCCACAAAGATGTGAGTGGAACACACTTGCCAGTTCCACATTCAGGGAAAATGGCACAGCGTGACATTTTGATTGAAATTGGACACAGAGCAAAGGCAAAGAGCTGTTCTCTAGTCTTTTAATTCACATGACTTCCCTAATGTCATTGTGACAGAATCTTAAAGAGTGGGTTAGACACTGATCCAATCCCATGCTACTTCAAAGCCTATATTGTCCCTTTGATGTTGAAAATCAACTTTAAAGGAGAATATAATTCTATAAGTCAGTGGATTCAAATGCACAAAACTCTCATGATGGTACAGGACAGCTAATGAAATCCAACTTCTCTGAGGTCACTAAGTYGTGATTAATTCATGTCAAATTAGAAAAAGATAGAGAAGTAAGCATGAGGCTCAGAAACTCCCATGAGGACCTAAACTTGTGTCAGAATCTTCATCGATTCATGCAGATCTTGGCTGCGTGTTTAAAGCTGCTGATTACTGAACTGGACACCGTTCAAACGGGGGGGTGTTCCGCCTCCATGTAGAAAAACTTGATGCACGTTTCTTATTTTTTACATTTCTTTTATTATTGCTCATCTCCAAAGGTGAAGGTGCATTTGCTCGTCTTTATTTACCTCTACTTGTGAAACGTCAACATATTTAATCAAAAAATCTGAAGTCAATCAGAACTTTTGGACTCAGTCCCGTTCAAGATGGCCGCCAGAGCTACATAACACAAACTCAAAAATTGGCACAAGTCAGTCATTTTTGTAGATACTGAGCTCAAGTTTGATYTGGTGGTAGCTGAGACTCATGTCCAGCACATACTCTGAGCACTACTCAACAAGTGGCCCGTGGGCCAGAAATGGCCTTTTTTAACAATCAGTTTGGTCCCCACAGAGATGATGACACGATCCAAATTGATTTGTCTGAATATAATCCTAAAAATGTAAACATCAGAGCTACTTTTAAACTTTGAGCATCATGTTAAGCTAGAATTCTTTGTGATTGATCTGTGCAAAACGTAGAAAGGTGGCAGCACAAACAGAAGAACCAAAACAATAAACATATTTTTTTCTAAAATACATGCATGCCACTTCCTGAATGATGTGTGCTTTTCAGAAGACTTCATTAGCAGCTAAAACTAACGTATCAGCAAACGGCACAGTGTCTCTTTCTTTACGKCGATGCCAAAAACAAAGAAATCTGTCGTCAGTTTGCACCAGAAGAAGCGGACCACACCAACCAAACTGCACAAAAAGATTTTAAAACCCACAATGTAAAACTGAAGGGAAATTCTGCTGATCCGCGATGCRCAATTCAAATTATGAACCATCTCGCTGCAGCGTTATCTGCAGCCCTTAAAGGAGAAATGAGACGGAGACAAGGTTTAAAATGGAGGACTGGAAACACAGGACAATATTAAAAGAGGGACATTTTCAAAAGAGGCATAAAAGATGATATCCTGCCTCAAATTAAATTAAGCTGCTCAATAAAACTGTGTGAT